GAACAACAGATTTTTTTTTTATCAGTTCTTGGACAAATCGTTTTTGGGAGTGGTACAGGTCACACAACCAAGAAGCTTTACGCTAAAGAGTATATTCCTGCAAGGTAATCTTTTCACGTTTTGGAAAGTTGAAATGTTGCCCAACTTGCTAAAAAAAAAAAAAAAGATTTCATTCACAAAACATTAGGGACCTCCACAAAAAACGCGATACCTAAGGTTTAAAATGAGTTTTTAAAAATGAAAAATCTTTCATAAAGCTTTTATTTTAGTTTTAATTGCAAGCTGGTAGATTAATTTTAATATTATCCAAAAAGCAAAATGCTGTATTTCAAAAGCTCATTTAAAGTGACTGGAAACATTTTTTTTTTTTTGCTAACCGATTAACGCTCCTTTTTAGTCATCTTTCATCACAATGTAATTCTCTTTATTAAAAATTTTCAAAAAATTTTACTTTTCTGAAACTTTATTTGAGGGATATTAACTGACTTAAAGTATAATTAGTCTGATTTGAAACTTATATTTACTTTATGTTTAATATATCGCAGAAATGCATTTTTTAAGCCGACAGTAGCCATATTTTTAAGCCGTGTTGACATGTTTTACAGCGTGATGACAGATCTAATATTTTTCTACGGAGACTTTATCTGTAAAACATAATGAAAGAAAAGAACGTGAGCGCCATTTTTATTTAATTTTTAAGTACGCAGTAACATTAAAAATTTAGGAAAAATATTCTCCGTAATTTAATATTTTATTAAATTTTAGAAATGTTGGCTTTAAATTTACTATATTCATCGCGCTTATTTTATGATAATGTCGTTTATGGTCGCCCGTACTTACAAAATTTGGCACGTTTATACACATACAAAAAAAATCAAAATTCTTTTAAAAATACTGGCGTTTAATGTTTATACTACGCTTTTCCATTTATGATTAGTTAACATATTTTTCACTTAATAATAATATAATCTAAAAGGGTGAAATTAATAAAGAATTTTAAAAGATTTAAAATTTAATAAATTTTTCTAATTAAAATTAAAAAAAAACATTAAAACAATTCTTATAAAAATTCATTATTCATCGAAACTTTTTCTCAAGTCAATAGTGTCCTTAATATATCTTATTTTCTAATTAAACTATTTCTAGCTTTATTGCATTTTTTATCTTACGATTCAGAGCAAATTTTCGATAAATGGTGCTTTTGATTGACAAAAACAAATTGATGATTTAAATTTTCCAAGGAGTCCTGCTATTAATTAATATAAATATAAAGAGCCTGAAATTTTAATTTCTCAAAATTTCATAAGACGTAAAAAAAAAATATTTTTACCAAGATTTTCTAAAAAAACAAATTCAAAATTAATTTCAATCATTTGTGAATAAAATCTGGAAATATCATTAAATTCCGACAATTGTTTGATTTTTGCACGAATTTCCAAAACAGCGTTTTTTTTTACCGAAAAAAAAAAAAAAAGACGCTAAATTTGCCAAAGTAATCTTTGACAAACCCGCCGTTGAGAGAAAAACAAGACTTTTAACCAAAATTTCGAACATGCTAGAAGGATTAAAAAATAAATTAATAAAAAATACTTTGGTATTTCCTCTTAATAATAACATACACATTTTGAGGTAGAGGAACCGGAAAGCCATTACACTATTCTGTTTTGAATGTCACCATGAAACGCAATTTTGAGATGGTAGGGGAAAAGGTGACTTAGTGGGGCAAACTGAATAAATAAATTAATGAATTTTGACAGCATTACTAACATCAGTTAATTAATACCAGTCTTAATGTGAAAAATACTTTGTATAATTTTATCTGACATTTTATATATATATATATATATATGTGTGTGTGTGTGTGTGTGTGTGTGTGTGTGTGTGTGTGTAAAAAATAATATCCGATACTGCATTTCGTCTATATGGCTTCATCAGATGGATAACAAAAAATGCGTTGTGTGTGTATGCATTTGTGTGTTGAAAATAATTAAATCTTATATTATTTTTCCCAAGTTGGCGTTGCTAGAAACTAAAAAAGAGAAATGAAATGATTTACTTCTTAAAAATCGTTTAACATTTTATATTCTCCGCCTTAAGTGTTCGAGTTTTGAGATGGAAATCCTTCAGAATAGAATGAAAGAATTGTTTTTATCCACGTGTTTTCCATGTTGGCAGTATGTAATAAATTTGGGTATGTAATCCCGACAGCGAATATATATATATATATTTATATATATATATATATATATATATATAGTCATCCACAGACAGACTGTTTCGCTGTATCACAGCTCATCAGTGTGGCTAGATATCCGGTTGCCTCTAGCTAGGATCGAAAACCCGGCTGAAATGGTGCCAGTCGGAGATTTTACCTCTGATCTGTCGGTGTACGGCAGGGATGAAGGTGAATTTAAGCGTATTTATTTTTAGATAAACACACAGTGACTGAGAGAACTCGATTCACTTTACCGAAGAGTCTTGCATTATTAGCCGTATTAGTGACTGTTTACAAACTCACACTTCCTCCCCAGATAGCTCAACCAAAATAAATTTTTCAGGAGCATATATATATATATATATATATATATATATATATATATATGTGCTTAGAATATTACTGCCACATATGGTCCGGTGCCCCTGCTATTTACCTAGAGCTCCTTGATAAGATCCAAAGAGGAATCTGCAATATTATTGGTCCTGATCTTGCTACTCATTACACCAACATTCTACATCTGGATCAAATACTAAATTTGGCAGAACGCACAGATACTTCAATGGTCCGAGTGCTTGGGAGGGACAATTTGATCTTACGCAGGGCACACGTACTCGAATCCCAGACAATAATACTCATCCATAGGTGTAGGTACCGCTATAAAAAAGCGATGTCTAAGGTTTAAAATGCATTTTAAAAATGAAAAAAAATCTGTCTTGAAGTTTTTATTTTAGTTTTAATTCCAAGATAATAGATTAAATCTTTGCTGTATTCCAAAACGAATTTTAATTGATTGAAGTGACTTTTTTAAATCGCTAAAATCCTCCATAATGACAAAACTGTCAGCACAACATAATTCTCTTTATTAAAAAAAATCTTTCAAAAATAAAATGTATTTTTCTGAAACTTTATTTAAGAAAGATTAAGTGAGTAAAAGTTTAATTAATCTGAATTAAAACAAATATTAATTACATTTAGTTTAAAATGTCGCAGAAACGTTTTTTTAAATAAAGGTGGATGTTTTTATAGGGTTGACAAATTTACCGATAGCTTATTGTTTGGCAGTTTTAAATAAAGCGCATATAATTGTAAAAATTACTTGACGAATACAACGTGAATGACTTTTATATATATATATACCTTTTAACTAGCTAGAAACCTTAGAAATTTAGGAAAATATTCAAATAATATTTTATTGAATTTTAGCTACTTTGGTTTTCTTTCTTACGAAGAAGCTTGGTGAGAAAATGTTAGAAAATTACCAATAAATTTTTAATTTACTATAGTTACCACTCTTATTTTCTCTAATGTCTTAAGGACGTACGCATTTTCAAAATTTAGCACGTTTATACATACACCAAAATAATTCAAAATTCTTTTTAAAATATTCAGGGTTGCTGGACGGTATTAAACTTTTCCATTTAAGATTAAGTATATATAGTTTTTTACTTGACAACAGTATCGCTTAAATGTTATAAATTAATAAAGAATTTTAAAAATTTATAAATTATTCTAATTATTAAAAAAAAAGATGAAAACAATTCTTGTAAAATTTCATTCAAAATGTTTTTCTTAAGACAATAATGTCCATAATATATCTTATTCATAGAAGCAATTAAAAACTTTTCTAATTAAATAATGTCTAAGTTTTATTGCGAATTTTTACGAGCAGATTTTCTGTAACTAGGAGCGCTGTTTGACAAAAATAAATTTGTAGTTTTAAATTTTGTAAAATTAAATAAGTGTGTGTGTGGGGGGGGTAACTGATGTAAAAAAAAATTTACTAAGATTTTCTAAAACGAAAAAGTTTACGAAATAATTTTATTCATTTGTGAATAAGCTCTGGAAGTTTCATTAAAATCTGGCAGTTTTTTTTTTTTAGCAAGAATTTCCAAATCAATGTGTTTTTTACTGTAAAAAGACGCTAAAATTTCCCATACTAATTTATGGTAACCCGCTGACGCAAGAAAAACAACATTTTTTTAAACCAAAATTTCGAAGATTTTAAAAAGGATTAAAAAAATATGATTTAATAAAACACATCCTTTGGTATTTCCTCTTCATAATAACATAAAGATTTTGAAGATAAAACTTTGTTTTTATTAAATTTGTGGCATTTTTTCATCATGTATACTCATTTTTTTTTAGCGAACCTTACGTGCTTATTTTTAACAAGCATCAATTTTCGTTTTATGCGGAGATTTCCAGATTTTCCGAACATTCTAAGGCTATTCATTAATTTGCTGTTCACTTAAGAAAGAAAGAAATTTAGTCATTTGATTTTTTTTTCATTTTTCCTGATTGGTTAATAAATGTGATCGTATTTCGCTAGTAGAAAAAGACGCCAGACTCGTTTACAAGCGATCAATATTTTAATTAGTACATTTCATTAATAATCAAGATGTATTATTGATTGTTATTGACAATTAAGCTTTAGAGTTTTATTAGATTGGTTGGTATGTAGATTTTATTTATTTATTGAATAAAAGATGAATGCAACAATGTAGACAAAAAAGTGATGAATGTGAAAAATCAAAGGCTGCTACAAAAATGTGATACGGGCAGGTAGAAATACATAGAAAAATAAATAAATCAGAACACATTGATATATATATATATATATATATATATATATATATATATATATATATAGAGAGAGAGAGAGAGAGAGAGAGAGAGAGAGTGAGTGATAGATAGATAGATAGATAGATAGATAGATAGATAGATAGATTTAGATAGATTTGAACAGAAATATTTGAACAGAAATATATACTTTGATTTGAACAGAAATAGCTAGCTAGATAGATACGAAGAGGCTGGACTAGATAGATAGATAGATAGATAGATAGATAGATAGATAGATAGATAGATATGATATGATATGATATGATATGATATGATATGATATGAATAGGCTTAGATAGATAGATAGATAGATAGATAGATAGATAAGATAGATAGATGAATAGATATGATATGATATATGATATGAATAGGTTTAGATAGATAGATAGATAGATAGATAGATAGATAGATAGATAGATAGATAGATAGGTTGGAAGAAATATTTGAACAGAAATATATACTTTGATTTGAACAGAAATAGCTAGATAGATAGATACGAAGAGGCTGGACTAGATAGATAGATAGATAGATAGATAGATAGATAGATAGATAGATAGATAGATAGATAGATAGATAGATATTCTCTGATGACAACTAAAAGTGAGGGTGTAATAAATAGAGTGATATAAAAAATGGAAACATATAATAAATCGTGCGTGGAAAAAAATGATGAAATCTAATAAACGGGTTGTTTCAATTAATAGGGTGTCCGGGAAATGATTAAAAAAAAAAAAACAACAACACCTTGAACAAATAAGGCTAAAATGAAATGTTCATCAATATTTTTTAAGCAAATGCTTTTAAAAAATTTACAGTGAAATTCTTTCTCACTATAGTACATAAAACATTACAGGAATCTAATTCTAATATATTGGGTTACTGTGAATAGTTAGATTGTGCGGTGGGCGGTGATGGTGTCCAAATAAGTACCGAGGAGTCAGGGAAAATCCAAACATTCAGTGGGAATGTTTATTTGGCACCAGAGAATAGATAGATCAGGGGGTTCTCAATAAAAGCGGACCCCGCCCGCACCAAGTGGGAATTTCAGGAGGGAGGGGATCGTTTTCGTTTTCCCAAATTTCTCATCTATGTAAATACCCTAATCTTTTATTGAACTCCAATATCTTGGCATTCTTTTGAACTTTCTATTTATTGAAGTCTGCTTCAGTTTATTTATTTAATAATTACATAAATTAAAACAGATTACTGTACATGCATTCAAATTTAAAAATCCATCAACATTTTCTATTGCTATTAAATCTGTAAAGCTCCTCTATAAAAATAATCCCTGTAAGGGATTTTCAATATAATATAGTCGTATTATTTGGAATGCACCTTTTGAGTCAGACAATCCAGGGAAAGTAGGAAAGACATTATGGTCAAAAGGGTGCATTGGGCAAAAACCACTGAGATAGATAATAAACAGCCTTAGATATATGCATAAATAAATAGATTATAAACAGCTTTATATATATATATATATATATATATATATATATATATATATATATATATATATATATATATATAAAAATATATATATATATATTTATATATATTTGAACTGTATATATATATATATATAGAGAGAGAGAGAGAGAGAGAGAGATAATAAACAATCTAAGATAGATGATAGACATATAGACATGTATAAATAGATTATAAACAGATTTATATATATATATATATATATATATATATATATATATATATATATATATATATATATATATATATATATATATATATGTATTTGAAACTGTATATATATATATATATATATTATGTATGTATTTAGGCAGCATTTTTTCATTAAAAGAAAATCACAATATTGATCCATATTTTTTTATTTAAGCCGAAAGCTTAGATTGGATTAAAAAAATTTGGATCAATATTGTGATTTTCTTTAATATATATATATATATATATATATATATATATATATATAGAGAGAGAGAGAGAGAGAGAGAGAGAAATAAATAGACAGATAGATAAACAATCTGAGAAAGAAAGAAAGAAAGAAAGAAAGAAAGAAAGAAAGAAAGAAATTTAACAGATATATAAACTAAGGTCGATAGTTGGGCCCCTGAGTAAACTTTTTAGCTGTGGGTACATAGTTTTCTTTTTACCTTTCTTTTTTCGGGTCTTGCTTCCTACTCCTTAGGACCGGATGGCTTATAATCCGATCCTAAGGATCATGATTTCTGCGAATTACGGATATATAAAATTATGTAAGCCTACAAAAATATAAATGCTAATTTTCTAGGAAATTCCCGAATGGGAGAAAGCGTCGGTCCCGGAGATTCCTTCTTCATTGCACTGGGAGGTGGTGTTCGGTGTAATATCGACGTCAGCGTGACAGTTGTCGTGGAGACTGGGTAGTTTTTGTCCTTGGCCCATATGCATATGCATGCGTATGGTCATCCCACCCCCCATTAAAAATGACCTTGTGTCACGTCCTGCCTTAATGGAGAGTCAGATAAATGATTTCCCGGGCCCAAGCACACTTCAATTTCATCGGCCCTGTTCGACAGATATGAAAAGAAGAAAAAGAAAGGAAGAAAGAAAGAACGAAAAGAAGAAAAAAAAAAGGAAAAAAAAGAAGATTATCTAGGTATTACTAGCAGATGTGTTACCTGCTATGAGGGTTGGAAGACAGTGTGGACCCAAGATTCCATTTGAATAAGAACAGTCTCCTTTTAAAATCAGTATGAATAAACGGCTAAATACACAAATTGCAATATACTGATAGTCCGGCTGAAAATAGATCCTTTGTTTAAATTTATTAATTTTTTACAGTCATCATCGGTTGCTGTTGTTTTTTCTTCTAAAAGTCTCTATTGAAAATACAAAGGTGCTGAAAAGTTCTCGGCTCGACTAAGAAGAGATTTAAAAAAAACTTTTGATGTTTTGTTCAGATTTTGGGAAATAGGTCGGGTCGAGAATTTTTCAGCACTGATCGTATAAGTGATCTAACTTAGCAGTCTTTTGAACATGAGTAATGGTTTATCCCTTGTTTCCTGTTTAGGATTGGGTTTCCGGTTCTCTCTAAAGTCTACACCTACTCTGTACTTCTGACGTCTCCGCCTAAACTCTGAAATTTTATTTACTATGTATTTTTTATTTTTATTATTTTTTGTATTTTTTCCTCAATAAGAATAGATAGGTTCGCCTGTCGTCCTGTTCACACTCCTCCCCGGTCTTTTAAACAGGAGTAGAGGTTTATCCTTCGATTCCTGTTTAGGATTGGCTTTCTGGTTCCTTTTAAAGTTTACTTCAACTATATACTTTTAACGTCTCCATCTAAACGCTGAAATTTTATTTACTATTTATTTTTTAAGTTTCAGTATATTTTGTATTTTTCCCGCGACAGGAATAGATAGTTGTCAATATTTCTGAGATGAGGTATTGTAACTATTTACACTATTTACATCGTTCGGACTGTTGTCTTCATCTTTATTGATATATTCACGACGTTTCGGCCGTTGTACGCTCCGACCTTCTTCAAGTGATATATGTTGGATATTTCGAACAAGCCCAGTGGATAAAAGCGTTGGTTGAATAATCCAAAAAGTGACTTGACCCAAAAAGTTGTGAGTTCAGTACCTAGCCACAGCAGAGGGAACAACTTGTGTTACTAAAGGGAATTAACTGAAACTGTGATATCCAAAAAAGGCATGGTGCGTGGAATTAGAAGCATCTACTCGCGTGGACTAAATAAAGGGTTCGAATGGAAATTCTAACGTATATCACCTGAAGAAGGTCGGAGCGTACAACGGTTGAAACGTCTTGAATATTTCAATAAAGATGAGGGCAATAGTCCGAATGATGTAAATAATGTAAATAGGAATAAATAGGTTCGCATATCTTCCTGTTCTGCTCCTCCCCGGTCTTTTGAATAGGAGTAGAGGTTTATCTTTTTTTCCTGTTTAGGATTGGGTTTCTGATTCCTTCTAAAGTTTTCTCATTCTATTTTAAATCCAGTCGCCCCTTTACGTCTTAGAAAAAATTGCGTGGTCAGATTTTACTTGGATGACAACATAAGTCATGTTTCAACATAAGAAAATAAAGCTCATATTTTGGTAAAATATTTTTATTTATTTATTTATACTTTTATTTTTAGAAAAGATTAAATCAGAACTTATTTGAAATTTAAATTGATGACAAAAAACAAACTCTTCTTTTCGTTGTCCACGCTCCAGGGTCTCCCGTTTGTCAATTTATTTATATTTAATAATTTGGGCCTGAATTCTTGAGAGAGGGAGAGTTTTTGTTATTATAGCTATTTTTTAAATTTCTTTATCGGTTTTCTCGCTTTTATTGTCTTTATTACGCTTCGGCTGATGTATCTTACGACCTTCTTCAGGTGACAGTCACATTCGTTAACTTTTTTTTTCCTGGAGATGTCGAACAGAATCTTTTTTATTTGATTCATTAATCTATTTCTTCTCCCTCCAGCTGTGGGTTGAATAGTAGCACAGCCGGATTTCTATAGCCTTGGTCGACAAACAATCAACCGCAGAAAGAAACGACAACCTACTGCGGGATAAATAATCGGCCTAGTCAGTCTGTAGAGAGTCCAGAGAAAAAAAATATGGAAATAAAATGTATAAACAAAAATAAAAAGAATTCAAATTAAATTAAGACATTTGAGCTTTCCTTTAAAACTCTTATTTCTTTCTTTCTTTCTTTTTAAACTTATCTATATATATTTCTCTCTTAACTAATGAGAAGGTAACCCTCAAATAAAAAAAGACTGAACATGGCTGAAAAACCGTGGAAGTTTTCTGAACCAGAGTCTGGGCATTTGTGACTAAAAACTACCAAAAATCAGAGAGGCGCCACACACAACTTCCGCTATATAGAAAAATGAAAAAGAAAGAAAACGCCGGAAAATAAAATAATTTGGTCAATCAAAAACATGAACACAAAAACACTTTTGATTTTAGCCTAAACCAAGCTTCGCGCCAGTAGTCTGGGGGCCTTGTCAAAGGGAATATAAACTGGTAGCCTTGAGACAGAAAAGAGAAGGGGCCGCTAAAGAAAAATGAACAAGAGAAGGAACCGCGAGAAAAACCAGCTTTGCTGGTCATCTGTTAATCGGTCATCTGCTTAAGACATTTTTCCGCCCTTCTTAGAACCGAGAAATGACAGCAGATTGACGTCATGTCTATTTCTAAGATGACAACTACTATCAAGGTCTCCCTTCTAAACTATTACCTACCGAACCGAAACGGATTTTTTCACGATGCTACCAAGATCTGCTTTATAAACGAACATTTTGCTACACCGAATATCAAAGGATTCTCTCCAATATAAATATAAATTAAATAAACAAATATATATAATTTGTTTATAACCTTTGAGTAAGTTCGTTTTAGTTTCAAAGTTCCGATAAATAATATCAAGAATATCCGGCATTCTTTCCACAAGGCATGAATTGAAAGATATATGATCACCCAAGCGTATAACACGTATGGCATTTAAAGGACTGGGGGTCTAAGAGGCAGGGGGTATATTATACTAATTATTCCTTTCACAGTTTTCGCGCCTTTCTGAAGGAATTTAAAAATTCGTATGCGGCAATTGGATTGCCAGTTCTTTCTAAAGTCTGCTTAATATATATTCTATATTTCTGACGTTTCCGCCTCGACTCTGAAATTTTATTTACTATGTATTTTTTATTTTTTTGTGGAAAAAAATATTCGCTTTTTTCTGTTTTGTAAACATGAACCTATAATTTTGATGGGAATATTTAGGAAAAAAATATAAAAATAAAAAATAAAATAAAAACAGAAAAAAAAAATAGTAATTACAATATATATTCGCGTATCACGCGCCTTTTGAAGACTTAATTTTGAAGCTAATTTTAATGGGGTCACATCATACACAAGATAAAAAATTAGCGTATGTACTCCTGACCCTGGTTACGCCGTTGGCCAAAATATATATCCATTTACTGTAGTCAAATTAGCTTCAAAATTAGGTCTTCAAAGGTTGCATGATACGCGAGTATATACGGTATGATAATATCCAGCTGTTGATTTAATAGTTTCATCCATATTTTTTTTTTCTCGCCAAAAAAAAAAAAAAAAAAAAAAACGCTCAACAAATATGTCCGAAGAATGTGAAGCAAGCGACCAACGAGACGGGAGCTACTAAATTCATCAGCACAAGCGGTGTTACCTGGCGGAAAGAAAACCCCAAAACTTTTATAATGAAGCCAGGAAAACATCAGTGATGACTCACCTGGGAGCATTCGAAGAATGTATTTTATTTTACAAATAAAACGTGTTTATTGCGCTTTATTTATTTATAGCATTTAATATATTAATTTTATTTACCGGACATCCATGGTCTTCAAAAATCGCATCATACGCGAGTATATACGGTAATTAAATAATTTATATTTATTTATCTTCTTATTACATTTTATTTATATATTTGCATTTTAACGTTAATTTGATTTGTAATCATTCCAGGGTCACCAGGACTCAATTATACCAAACGGAAATGTTGAAGCGGTAATCTAGTACAGGTCTGCTATCGGGGTATACTGATTTACTAAGCGTAGCTTAGATGTAGCACAAGGCCAAAAGTATGGAGCATTCAGGAAGGAGTGAACTAATTAATCATCCATAATAGATTTAGCGCAACAAGCTTGTTAACCATTACGCCATGTCGAAGTGCACCTGATGTCGGAGTATAAGACACAGGGTAATAGTTGTATTTTTAAAGCGCGCCTTATATTCCAGGAAATAGAATAACTGTCATATCGAATCTCTTTTTTTATTTTATTTATTTATTTTTTTGCAAATTTATTTATATTAGAAGGTAAATGAACCTTTAATTTTTTTTGTTTTTTAAATGACAGGGACACTAAAAACAGTGGTAAGGTAATCGAATCAAATTTCAAGGGAATACGAAACAGCGGAAGAAAGATGATTAATTATATTTATTTATTTTTCCCAATAAAGGATTTGAGAGCCACCCAAGGTAGATGTCTACTGAATAGGGATATGAATGCCAGAGGAGGTGATAGGAAGCGAAGATTAGAAGGATTAGGAGGATAGATAACGACTGAAA